AGATTTCTGCTTTGTGCAGAAAGTACACTAAAGAGACAAATGATGATAACGCTCCAATTTTCTAACTTGAAAACAAAGACTTCCACTTGTCTTTCTACTTGGTTTGCATTATCCTACTCAACACAAATTTTTTAGCAAAGGAAGAGAATTTATTTGTAAAATGTTGGATATTCCCATCATGTTTTTGCAACATGTAGCTTAACAGATGAACATAACGCATGCAGATTTTTTTTTTTTTCCAACAGTATTTATGAAGTCTCAGAGATGCTAATAGTACTGGACTAGTAACCTACTGGTTTTCACCCAATCTTTCCTCCCATTAGTTCGGACCTCCCTCCCTCCTCCACAGGCTACCCATCAGTCATAGGGGTCAACTCAGTGCCAGCTTCCCTTCTAAACCATAGCTTTGATTGTGTTAGTGCTAAATTATACATTGTTCTGTTTTTGGAAACAGAATTTATTGCATGTTTGAAATTTCAAGTGTTTTTGCTGTAACCTTTCAACAAAGAAGGCACCACAGCTTGAAAGAATCGTATATCTAAGATATTCATGATAAGTGCTTTTGAGATATCAAAGAGAATTAAATTCAAATGATTTTTGCTTTTCCAACCGAATAGAATAGTAATATATGAAAAGCTCTTACAATGTGGATGAACTAAAACATGAATCTGGCGTGGTTTCAGGCAATGCATTTCTGTTGCTATTGTGCTTTCCAAATTTAAATTCCCTTTGAGGCTGAAAAACTTGCAGGGCCTATAATTGCTTATGCAGGAAACATTTGAAGACAGACAGCCTTCTTCTTTGAAATGCTTGAGTTTGGATCTGCGCTGAAAGAATATGGAACTATGCACAAAAGTCATGCTGAATGCAACCTCAGTGCAACAATTGTCAGTGATGTCAATTAAAACTTCAGGCGCCAGCTGTTAACAATGCAGACGACAAAGATAAAACTAGTGAAATTATGGACCAGCACTGAACACAATGGACCAGTGCTGAGAAAGCCACCCTGCCTCTGAGTTCTGCATCTATTATTAAGAAACTGAACTCTCATTTTGTCAGTAGGTAAAATTAATATCTATAACCCTCTCTCTCCAGTTCCACTCATTATGTACCAGCTCACTATGCCTGATTGCATTGTAAGAAAAATTAATTGGGCCTCTGTGATAAACCAATGTAGCGAAAGATTCTTTAGTGGAAGGCTTCGCTGAGTTTGAGGTATTCAGATGTTGTTAAAAAGACATTTAGAGGCACAGGAAGTAAAGAAGCCATTAAGGCAAAAGGAAAAATCAACTTAATTGAAATCTCCTCCTACACCTCCACGTTTGAGGAAACCTTTAACAAAAGAGAAAAAGATAGAAGCACATAAATTATAAAAATTAAAAAGGAATGCAGACGTTCCCTCAGCAATTGCCGTAGAGGTTATTGCGAAATCAGCGTGGTCTTTACAAATTATTATTTTTTTGATTACAGATAAGAGAATATAGTTTGAGATAAAACAATTGGCCCATAAAATAATGATAACTTGCTGTACACTAACCATTTCATTTTTATTACATTATAGATATGATTATGTATCAGGAGAATGCAAGTTCAGGACATATCACACTGTCATGCATAACTCGCCAATTAAAAAGAGAAAAGTTAAATAGATATTGAAAAGTTCTCAGTTTAAGACAAATGTAGTTGAATGCCAAAAGATGAAAAAATGTCTACACAAACATGTCCATTATTGTTATAAATTGGTGCTCAGGTCGTTAAATCAAATGCTCTAAATAGGTCTGAATCTCAAAATCATTCTTCTTGACAACATTAGGAAGAGAACTACAAGGCTATAAACGTCCAAATCACAACATATTTTTCTGTTGTAAAAACAAAAGTCCCTGGACAACCTTAAATAACCATAAAAATGTCTATGGGTACCCAGATTCTGCTGGGATATCTGTTTTTATTATAGTTCAAATGTTACTTAATAAAATTTTAATAAAATGTTTCAAGACTTAAGAAGCTTATAATAATTTCTATATCTTTGAACTGTGATTTGTATCTTTGTTCATTTTTTAATTATTACTTCTTAATGCATCTAAGCAGATAAAATGTTATTCAATGTATTTTATCTTTCATTAAGCTCATTCAATTCATTGTCATCAGCCGTTGCTGCTTTAACTTATAATTATAAGTTAAAGCAGTTGGACCATGTAACACATTAAGTTTTTTGCGGAGGAAACAGAGGTTATCATACACTGAGAAACTTTTACAAACTAACTTTTTGCAGCGTCAGTATTTGACAAAATCATCTTGTGTTTTGTTCTATGTGTAAGATTTATCCGCTGTAGTAAATTAGTATATTAGATGAGCTAAACCATCCAGCTTCTTTGGTGTTTGTTTGCAACAGTCATTCTATGCATTTCTTTTTGTTAAGATTGCAATGTCAGCACAGTCTTAATAAAAAGAACCTTTATTTCAGAGGAAATAATTTTCTTACAACTTTTGAAGGTTGTTGTTCAACTTCCTCTCAGAGAGAAAATGTGTAGTCAGAATACAAAAACACCAATAGTCTGAACTCTTTGCCTGAAAAGCCTCCAAAAGATGACTCATACACACTTTACTGTCTGTCAGGTGGGTGATGGATGACCTCGTTCATGCTTTCTCCCCAATCAAGACCAGTGATCCGTCTGATCAAATTAGCCTGCAGTTCTCCATCTGGATGTCCAGGCTCAGCTGTGTGTCTCTAGTCCGAATCCAATGTCCTTGTTGGGTGCAAGTGTGAGGTCTTTGGAGTCGAGGTCAACTGTCTTACATTTGGACAGCCTCCTTGAGCAAAAGACAGCTGCTGCTGTTAATACACAACACACACACACACACACACGCACACAGGCACCCACACACACACACACACACACCCACACAGCTACAAGCCTCTGGAGTGACCATGTCTACTTCTGCAGTGCCATCCATCCATCCATCACTTAAAAGCAGAAGTTTGAAAATGAAATGAAAAATAAGTGTTGAAATTGGTTATGTGGTTTCCCTGAAAAAAGACATACATTTTGTCAGCATTTAATTAGCTGTCTTGTAAATCATTCATTCATTATTTTCAATCACATATAAGTTGACATGTAGCTTTAGTTCAGAGCAGACAGCAGCTGTTTAAAAATGGATGGAATGGCAGAGGCAACAGAGAACTACAAAATAATGTAAGACTTATGGGAAAAGTCCTTACAGGTCTGAAATGTTACCACCTCCCAGTGAACAAATCCCAACTTACTTTATCCTTAACAAAAACTTGCTCAAAGTTGCTCAAAATAAATTCAGTTCATAGGAATGTATTAACACATCATCTCTCTGCCATGCTGACAGCAGTGAGATAAATTTATACTCCAATCATTTACTAATTTAGGTTCATTTGCTAGTTTTTACAACATGGAGTCTTCTTAAGGTAGCTGTATTTGAAATTCTGTTTTGTTCTAGAGTTTCTCAATTCATAAAGATACAACATGAACTGAGAAACTCTAGGAAAAAAAAACAGAATTTCAAATACAGCTACCTTAAGAAGACTCCATGTTGTAAAAACTGGTACATGTTGTATTTTACTATAGCATCAATTATACTAAACCAAAGCTAATTTACAGTTTTTCTTGTCTTGCTTGGTCATGAAAAAACAAAGAGATCAGAGATCAAGACTGAAAAATAGGTTGCTTGATGTTATATTAGCAACAGTGAGACACAGAATTGTTTTTTGGACCGAGCAGCTCTTCCTGAACCCATAAATCCCTATTATGAAAATATTTGTCCTTTCATATCATCTAAGTTCATTTGCCAGGACCACAGGCAGCAGGATTGAGGCGTCAAAATGGTCGGGATAATAGCTCAGCATTCACCTGAGCAAAATGAATGTGATATATGAGGGAGATTTTTCCTTTCTGGCTGAGTTCTGTCATATTAAAAAAAAGACACTTGTCAATCAGTTGTAGATCCATAGGACAATGATACAGTATGATTATGGTAGAGTTGCAGGATCACACAACACAACTCATTGATTGAGGTGCAGAAAACATCACTTCCTCCGCAGTGGAAACATTCTTCGTTATAAAATATTGTACCAACCTGCACCAACCCATGTTGTACAGTTCAGAGGAAATGAGTCATATGTACATTAGGTTCTGCTATATCCGCAGACAACGATGAATGCTGTCTGCCAGTGTGACGATGAACAGCTGCAGTTTTTGCCTTTGCCTTATGAGATTATCACGTTATTAGTCAGAAATGGTTTTAGATTTCACACCTTAAGACATGAATTTGGAACACTGCTATCTAAAAGTGATGGGGAATAAATCATTTTTATCAATTATTTACACAGAGAAACTTTGCAGTAAGCAACCAGATTTTCCCCTGAAAGAAAAGTTTGCCATCTTTTTCTGAACAATAACCAAAGTTTGACCTGAAGGTTTTCTAGTTTATTGCAGCCATCCATTCTGCTATAGGAAATAAACTTAAATATAGAATACTGCAGTAAGTCATAACTCACCAGAAAGCAAGTATGTTTTTTATGTCCTGTGTCATTCTGAAACAGCATGATCACATTTTCACATGACTATCAACGTAAAGCAGTGCAATAGCAGCAGTTAAGGTTCTTTACCTTGTCTTTCAAGAGGTTTAATGGTTAAAAAGCGAGAGATTAACTTTTGTGTGTTACATTTTAGCAAATTAAATTTAGGTTTTGTTCAAAAAACCAAAAAAAGAAAGAAAATTAAAGCTTGTTCCTAACATCAATACAGATTGAGTGATTGCTTTAGTTTTAAACACAGACAAAGATGGATTAAGTGAAAAATAAAAAAAATAAAACCCCAAAGGATGTCTAGTAAACTGCATGCTTAATCCAGGATAGAAGCTTCACATCTCTGTGACAATGCCCTGTGACCTACTTATTTAATCCTCAAAGGGACAATGAGGACACACAGGTTCTTCTGTCTGCCCTTTAAATCTCAACATCAGATTCTTACCTGCTCCAGTTTCCAGTGGAACTCTGCTGGCCTGAAGGTGTCCACCTGCGTAAAGTCCCTCCTCAGCAGGAATACCAGCCGGCAATTATGGACATACAGTGAGTAGTGATGACGATTCATCTCTGTAGGAGAAAGACAGATGAGTAGGCACCAGGGAGCAAATCTCACCACACCTACTCACAACTGTCAGGTAAAGTCAGTCTGACATCTGGCTTCCTGAATCCACAGGAAACTGGGACAGTGGTGCTTTCTCTGACTGAGGCCAGCTGTCAGATATTCATCCCCACTTTCAGTGCAAATATTAAGACAATTGGATTGCTGTATAAAAGTATTACTAAAAATGAAATGATTTAAAAAAAAAACAATTCTCCTTTGCTGTTAGACAAAAACTGCAAATGAAAAGAAAATAGCAGTGAAGTATCAGAAATGCAGTTGCTATTTGAAAATCATCAGTTTTTGTAGAACCTTGGTATAAAACCACCTACATCATGGGTCATATCAACATTACTTCACCATACGAAGCTAAATGGCTCTGATAATGACAGACTAAATGTGAAGTAAGCAAGAAGTGTCAATTTTTTCACAGGGAAATTAAAATAGATGGGTTTTATGTGTGCAGAGTGTGTAAAGCAAAAGTCTATTTAGTGTTCATTTTATTTCCAAAACAGAGCATCAAATTCTTGCAGCTGTAACTAAAATCTGGAATACGCTAAGGTTTCCTGGAGATGGCCCCTAACTTTAGATCACAGAGCAGATCTTTGTCACAGGCACCTGAGTCAGATGGGTACAATCAATTTGTTGTCTATCCCTGTCTCTTCCAGGCATTTGCCAGGAAGAAACTTCAGAAAAGACAAACGACTCACCGGTTTTGTCAGAGTTACAGAGCAGTGTCTCCTTCTCAGCTCTGAGCCCGGGGCTCGGTCCGTGCTTCATCCAAGTTGCGATTGTGAACTGGTCAGTAAGATTCTGGGGAACCACCCAGTCGGGGATTTTGGCTGCCTGACGCCCGTCAAACCTGAAGATCAGGTCGCTGTCCCGTCCATTGTCAGACACAAGGGAGGCTGTCCAGTTGGTGGCGGCGCTGGGAGCCGGGAGGAGGTCAGTGCTACCCGATGAGGCGCCTGGAGGTCACAACAATGGGAATGAAGAAAGAGAGCAACACAAGATGTGTCAATAACAATCATGGAAGATATGTGGTGTATATTGCCTTAACCTTGGGTATGATTACTTATGAGTAAGGAAGATGACAGGGCTTAATATGTAATCAATAGAGCAAGATGGATAGAGGATGCTAGTATTGATTCATGGCAGATGAGACTAACTTTAAAAAGAAGAGAGATGTGAGTCATTGTCCATAAATTTGGAGTATAGCTCAGAGCTGAACTGTGCCTCTATGCAAACCAGAGAGGACACCAACTCAGCACTGTGGTTACACAATGAGAGGAGATGCTGCAGGCACTTACTGAGGAGGACAAAAGTCTGGTATGAATTGTTTACAGCTGACACTTTTGGTATATGATCCCCACAAGTCCTGACAAAATACACCAATCATCACTGCACAGCATTAAGTCATTCCATTCCTTTTCCCTCTGCGAACAGCTCAATCATTCCTTTTACACAATAACCTCAGTGTCTCGAGATCAGAGAGGCCTTTCTTTTTAAGCTGTCACCTTGACAAATAATATTTTGCCACATTGCTCATCTTGTGCCTTGACATATTTGACATGCTCTTCAGTGATCCGTCATTTCCTTTCAAGATGTTGCCCTCAATAAATGCTGCTCTCAATACATGTTCTGAAGATTTCTTTTTTTTAAATTGTCAATAATGATAGTGGCTCCTGTTGCCTTTCTTTCTGCTGCTCTAATGTTGACATTTGGTTGATATCACAGTGTTTGCTGGATCAGAACTAGGAGGAGCTGAAGTTTTCTGGCTCAGATGCTTCAGCTTTCATTATCTGTAAGATTTTGCAGATGCCAGTGGAGTGATTTCAGCAGAATGAAGTCCTTTGGATTTCTGGGTTAACTTTGTCTTTTGTAGTCATGTTTATTTCATCCTAATTTAGTTGATTAAAGTAGGAAGGCCTCCGCTGTCTTGTCTTGATTCTCAAGAATTAAGTTTAGTCTAGAATCATGTCTAGGGATAAGCATTCATACATTAGCTTGGTATTTTTCGGTTTTGAGTGTAATTCAGAGTGAATTGTTAAGGAAGATTAAATGATTGTATACTGTACATCTTGCAAGTTACTGAAGAAATTTTAAACTTTTAGCTAATTTAGCTCTCTCTTATATCCTGACATATGTTGTATAAATGATTTGTAGAATTGTGAGCATACCGTGACTGGCTAATCATTAGCCAATGACAATGCTAAAGTAGGCAGAAGCTTCACAGCTTTCAATGTCCACCTATTTTTCCACTCATTTTTAATGACTCTGTTTTGCTTGTACCCAGCAGTTTGCACACATAAAGCGACATTTGCTGAGCTGGCTGAATTCTGTGATGAACTGATAACAACGCTTATGATGTAAAAAAAAGGGAGCAAATTATATTTCCTGCGTTTAAACCAACATTAGTACTAAACGTGACATAGTGAGGCAAACGAGAAAAGAAGTGGAGAAGCTCATTTTCTTCTCTGCCCAGTCCGGAGCAGTCTGATTTATTCTGTCTCTTTTGGCTTTCAGGGTGAATGTGTGCATGAATGGGTGAATGACTGAATGACCAAATGTAGTGTGAAGTGATTGTACTTGCACTGTATAAGTACAAGCTATTTACCATTTACCATATGTGACTCAGCACACTGAAGTTCAACGTGTCTATTGGGGGCACACATGTTATATCTTTGCATTACAATACTGTATGTACTAAGATAATATATATATATATATATATATATATATATATATATATATATATATATATATATATATATATATATATATATATATATATATATATATATATATATATATATATATATATATATATATATATATATATATATATATATATATATATGTACCCTCCAGATTTTTTAGCCTGTGTACTCTGCCTCATCTCAAGTGTCTCTGTTCAATACATATTTTAATAATTACAGTTTCTACAAAAACAACATAATTTATGATTCTAACGAAAAAAGGAAAGAGAGTCATCAATTACTCTGTCAGTTTAACAAAGAAACACATTCTAGTTGAGCTATCAGTATTTAATATTCTCTTTATTTTTCCTTGGGATCTGTCTGGTGGCAAACCCCCTGGTCTTCCTCAGCATCTGTAGCTACTTCTGCATTCTTATCTCCATGGACATTACAACAAATGTAGCACAGTCCTTCAGTCCCCCAGGGACGTCTGCATGCACTGTCCCTCAATAGTGCTCAACTGACTACATATCCGATTCCCTACACTGTGTAGGTCTTTGCACACTTTCTCTAAACAAAAGGAACATGTTGCTGCCTGTTACTGATGTAATTTATTTAATTTCCAATAATTTTCAGAAAAGAAACCTGAAGTATTTTCAAGAATAGCTTATTACAGGAGGACTTATTAGAATTTCTTCCCCACATTAGACCAATTCTACCATTTGTTAAATAACACCTAAGAGCTTAATTGTTAACTAATGTTCGTGTCTCATACAACAAAGCACTTGGCAAGTTGTTTCAGAGGTGTTCAGCATTTTGGGTGACTGCCAAGTATGTGTGTTTGAAGATTTTATGCACTTACATTGGTTGGCTAGTAGATGGCAGTGTTTGGAGTGGCATACGCTAAAACTAATCAAGACTGACTAGCTGCCCACCCAGCATGAAAGGGACACTAAGTGAGTTATGCACTGCAGGTAAGATATTAACTACTTACAACATTTTTAACAGAACCTCACTTGAAAAATCCAGGATAGTTCCTTTAAAGCAAATTTTGAAATGTTTCTCCACTGATGAATCCTAATGAAGCCCAAGGATACAGAAACCGCAGCACTGTTTAGAGATGATATTGGACACTGTTGTCCAAATGCCACAGGCATCTGCTCATTTCTGCTAAAAGCACATTAGCACATTAATTGGTGTTTTTCCTCCATCTCTAAAGGTCTGATTTCCCTCCCCTGCTTTCTTATGGCACCAGCAATGTTTCAATTCAACTAATTAAATTCCCTCAGTAAATAAAAACTGATCGACTTTTCCAACACCCAGCTGCAAATGCCGCTTTGCCCAATGTCTCTGTACATTATCTGAAATTGATTGTGCTTTAAAAAAGCAATTACAATTTATTCTATTTGCTATCAGATAACGATTATGAGGTGCCAGAAAGGAGCTCTTTAGTGGTAAACCATGCATGGACCGGGAGTCGGGGGAAGAGGGAGAGGCAGGAAAAGCGGGGGTGTGGATTATGCATTCAGATGAGCAGAAACAGGGCTTGTGTGAAGGCCGTTAGTCAAAGATGATGACTCCTGCCCCCCTGCTGGCAGTGTGGTGTGGGCGGGGCAGAAAGGACGGGGGACCTGGCTGCTTTGTTTGGACTCTGGGGACTGACAGGCAACTCTGCTGCTCATCAGTCACTGAGGAGGGAAAGTGGCTGCATCTAGGGCAGCTAATACCCTCGCTCCATCAAATCATTAGTGACACAGCTTTAAGTTGCCATTCTGGTGCCTTCATTTAGCACAGGGGTTTACCAGGGACATAAGAGGAGATAAGACTGTAACCCGGGCTGAGAGCTTTTAGATGTTAATTTAAAAAGGGCAAAAGGAAGGCGCCTCAGGCTCTGTCTGACCCTGCTTCTCTGAGCGTTGACTTTAAGCAGAAAGCATAATCCTGATTTTATGCTCTCACTTTTAGTCTGCTGCTTCGCTTCTCACTACATCAGCAGACATCCACAATAAAACTTTCTGTCAGAATAATTTGAAATCTCCAGATGATGTGCGCATGTATAAGGTTTTGCTAAAGAACTCAGACTTTGAACCTTTGCATGCTTAGTCACGTTTCAACCACAAAGTAGTGCAAGATTGTGAAGTGGAAGGAAAAGGGTGAAAAGTTTTCACATTTGCTACCAACACAAATCTGAAAAGTGTGGTGTGAATTTGAATTTAAACCACTTTAGTCGGATCCACTAAAATAAAGTTGTGTACAACCAACAGTTTTCAGAAGTCATCTACTTTTACAAGTAGAGCCTATGTGTGTGAAATTTAGGGTGCTTCAGGTGGACCAGAGTTTGTTTTCTCAGATAGTCCACTTCAGTTGAGGAGGTGTGCAAGCTTCTTAATTTCTGTTTTGACAAATCTAGCAAACTGCCTGAAGACACAGCAAACTTATAAAGAGTCTGTGGACATACAGAGGGAGCTGCACAGTGGTGCAGTTGGTAGCACTGTTGCCTTGCAGCAAGAAGGTCCTGGTTCAATTTCTGGCCTGGAAATTGAACCTGGAAACTCTTTCTACATGGAGTTTGCATGTTCTCCCTGTGCATGTATGGGTTCTCTCTTTTTCATTTTCAGTCTTCAGAAAGTTGGGCCCACCTGCTTTCAGCTACTATGGGTACAAACACAATCAAAATATGCTTCTAAAACTGCTACATATTTTTTTGTACGGCACAAAAATAAATTATTTATATTTCATTTAATAGTGTGTAGTACATAAAATACTTTTTGGTTTTGGTACATTTTTAGTTCATTTTAACTGATGCATCAAGGTGTAGCTACCAACTGATCTGGCTGAAATTTTTATTGAAAACACCAGAGCACCCGCTAAAAGTGTTTGGCATTTATTTAAATGCAGAAAATCTAGTCCAAAGTAGAGGTGGCTTCTCCTAACCCTAAAAGATCATTATGTATTTATGAATGGATTGTTTAATTCAGGGGTTTGCATGTGGCTCCAGAGACCAATGTGGCTTGTTGGGCCCTACACCGTGGTTGTTAAAAAAACCCCAAATAAAAATGTTTTTAATTATAAAGGCAATTACAAAGGGTGGTATTAGCAGTTCTTCTGTGTGTTTACCCACATATAATAACTACACCAAAACATTCAAGGGTTGTAAAATTACCTTTTTTTTTCTTTTTTGCTTCAAACATGGCTTTATTTTTAATTTGTGCTACCAATTTTCTTTATTTTCCTCGTTCTGCAAAATTTGATTTTGTTTATTTGCAAAACTTGGATATTTTGTTTCATTCTGAAATCTGAAAATATTCTTTAATTTTCTTAGTTTTAAAAATAGAACATTTCAATTAGTACATATTTATGAAAGGCATCTTTTTCACAGCTCTAGATGAATTTTATTGTCTAGGAGGAGGGTTAAGTGGCTCTTTGAAATAAAAATGTTGCTGTTTCATGAGTTAGCTTGTAGGATTGTAAACTAATTTTGTAAGACAGTGGGGCAGTTCTGTTATGTAAGCGAAAATAAACATAATATTCTCAAATACCTGTTGGGTTTAAAATTGTTATTGATTTTTGCAGATTTTGTGTATTCCAGATCTATACAGTAAATATTTCCTGCAGTTTTCAGGGCTGTTCCAGTGTTGTTTTAGCAGTGGTCAAATTTACATGTTACTTATGAGAAAATGTTTTTTTTTCCAATTATCTTTCCCATTTTATGCCAAAAAATTTGCATTACTGAGTTTGTAAAGTTGCAGTGTCAAGGCACACGGGTCCAGAAAATACATTTAAACCTTTCTAGCATAAACATTTTTAAAGACAACTTCCACTTTCAAGTTTACTGTTAGGCATGTACTGGCAATAGTTATGCTAAGGGTAAGTATTTGGGTTAGGCTTTGGACATTAATGAAAAATGTATAGAATTCAATGCAAAGTCCTTGTGAAGACAGAAAAACAGACTATGTGTGTATGCGTGTACGTGTGTTAATGTGTAGCACTCAAAGTTTAAACGTTACCAGTCTTTTGACTGTTCTGTTTAAAAATAAGATGGGTTTAGTAACCTGTACATTATGGATTTTGAAGTAATCTCCTGGCAGCCACCAACAGTTGTGTTTATTAAATAGGGAGATGCTGCTGCCAACTGGCATGGTTAGCTGGCCTCTCTGTTGGGCATGTTACCAAAGGAAGCAGAATAACCAGTTTAAAATGCCAAATACAAATTATTTTTGGCTTTGTTTGAGGCCCTGTCCACACAAAAAAGCTTATTTTTGTCAAAAACAGAAATATTTTTTGCACTGCATCTACACTGAAATTGTGTTATATAGAATCCAAAAAGTTGACCAGGTGCTTTGTGAGCTTTGTCAGATGGAAATGATAAAATACAAGCAGCCAGGCAAAAGAATAAACCAACCACAAAGTTTCTGTAGCGATTTCTCTGAGTAGGTCTCACGGTCACAGCCCTTCCCGATGTGGCTGGTCTGCAGCTCCACTGTGACCCTCAACGAAGACAGCGGCTCACCACAGGTCTCAAGGTGCATCTTGGGAAACAGCTGCTTACTGCCTGTTCCTGGCTCATAGTCCACTCGTTTATTCCAGCCTGAGAGAAGGGAGAGATGGAAGGATAGAACTGTAAATAAAAGGAATAGTCTGCTTTTAAGAGGTAAATGATCAATAATCAAAATGTTTTTTTGTTATGGCACAATTTATGACTCCTCTTGATTTTAGAAGACCATCAAAACACAAAACAAAACATGATTTTAAATTTTTCTTGTTTGTGGTTGCTTTGTTATGACAAGTCAGTATTTTCCTAGGACAAAATAGCTGGCTTATGAAATTGTGCCTATTTTTGGAGTGCAGTGCGTGTCTCAGCGGCAGTCATTACACTGTCACTGTCCTGTCAGATGTGAAGATATCATTTTGGAAAATTATTTTTCATCTTTGATGTCCAATCTTTTTCTCCAGTCTTTGTGGTATGCATTTGTGTTCAGTTTCCAGCTTATAGTGAAATTAACACCAGTTCTGTTGGGAGGAAAAGGCTTCCAGCATTTTACTCACATCATTAAGCTAACTCTAACAAATATTGGGAAAATGCATGCAAACCTTTGAATTTGAGGAAAGTGGAAAAAAAGATCTCTAAATAATTTAGTATTTTTGGTCATTCTAACTGACCTAAAACAGAAAAAATTGTTTTGCAAGAGAAAATAAGTTTGTATTTTCTCTTGAGTTATATAATTACTGATGAAAGTTTCTCTTCACAATCCTTTCATTTGCAAATCAGAATAAAAAAAAAAAAAAAACTTTCAACTCAACTATTTAAAACCATCGGTGTTGCTTGTGGAAGTGAATGACTGCCAATTCACCAATCAGTATGAACAGAACATGTAAGGCGCTAAAGGCAAACACATGGAGTCTAGATAAAAGCAGCAGGAGGGGATGAAACAAATTCTGTTGTTCAGCAGCCTGTTAAATCTGCCATGTTCGCTTCCTCACACAATCACCATGTCATGCTCAAACACGTAGGAACACACTGCATCTGTTTTGTTGCTGATTTACCACCTCAAGTCTGCAACCGCTGTGGGCTGCTGCAGCACTGTTACGACGGGATTGTCCGTGATTGTGATAAAAATGTGCACATACTGTGGGGCATGCTTAACAAGAACAAAAAAAACCCTAAAAAAAATATGTGAAAAAAGGACCAAAGGCATAAACAGGCTTTGCTGATTTATTATGGTTTGTACCTTTCTCTCCCACATATGTCTTTCTGGCCACAGTGGCACTGTGTTGTTCTTGGATTTATGGCCCAGCTTCTCACCTTTAGATCACTTCTTTATGTGTCATCTCTTTCTGTAGTCTGCTCTGGGAATTCACAGCTCAAAGGTGGTCAGGTACCAAGAGTAACAATAGGGACGCTACTAGTATGCCGTAGTGTGAAGAAGAAACATCAGGGCAACTGACCTTCAATGAGATACCAAAACGGACGCAACAAGCACTTGCAATGTAACAAGTCAAATTATGTTTTTGATTGACTTCCATAAAATATCTGATTATTACATTAACAAGTATGTATAACAGGGTTTACTCTTGTACAATTCAGGGACTTTTATGAACAAAAGTTTCGTGCATAAGCTGGACTTTATTGTGCATTTGCGCCATCAGTGCACACATTTTTACATGAAAATCAGATTTACGTACAAACCACCACTACTATTTTGGTTAAATGTATTTTAACCCCACACATTTTGCTATTGTCCACAAGCTTGTAGAATAGTTATGGTTGGATATTTTTGTCTATTCCAGAGAATAATTGACAGACAAGACAAAAATATGACAGGAATATGCCAATGGCTCCAATGGCTTCGTCTGCGTATTGGTAAAGAGGGTCATCCTCTTTGTTAATAACGCCCAATAAACACAAATTATTTTTACGTTCTTCTGTTTGCCATCAACATAAGATGAGGTGAAAATGCTTAAAAAGTTCATGTTCTGAGTGGCACCAGTCATTTAAACATTGCCCCTAAATTGTGTTTTTACACTGTACTTAGCTCATTATAACTTGAAAAGTGGCAAAAAACTGTGAAAAAAATGCCTTTATCAGTGTTGAATAGACACTTATAGGAAATGTCTTTAAGCTAAGCTAAAAGTCAATCCCTAAAAGAAAAGGAAAATAAAAAGATTAGATTAAAAAATATGGCTTTGTTATAGTATTCTGCCCTATATTTTTTTTTAATTATTTATATTTTTTTGGTGTGTCATACTGGGACTGGGACTGCATCATTAAGCACTTTCAAGATGGAGTAAGGGCATAGCAGGTTATTTAGCAATAACTTACTCGCCAGAAAACAGAGAAATGACCTGTCTGTGACTCGGCTTTAACTCAATATGGGGCCAGCTTTACATCGTGAGAAATGGAGGAGAATGAGACAGCACCTGGTTAAGAATTCATGGTGAGGAGTCGGTGAAGGTGGAAGGAAATATGAGCTGTAATGAGCTCAGGATGGAGGCTGCATATAGAAAGCCAAGAAAGGCTTGGGCTGTACTTGAACATGAATCATTTAAGGTTTAGAGAGCAGTGGACAAACAAGAAGTAAGGTCTGCAAAGACAGATAAAGATTATTTTATACCTGTTTAAGTCCCATTGTCATTACAGAGGTGGCTTATAATTAACAGCTAATTCAACTATCTTGAATTATTCTTGAAATTATTATTGTTATGAGAATCTGAGATAAATACAAAGTTTCTCAAATAGTTTCTTGGTACAATATTCTGATACCTTCATCACACTATTGTGCGTCTACTGTATGTTTCATTAATTTATGGAGATATACTGCATATAACACTTCATTATGCTTTTCAAAGCATGTGATAATGCTCCAGACATTTTTTGATCTCCAGCTAAATCACAAATGTTTTTTAGTCCCACATCACAGAGCTGCCACACAAAACAGGAGAAGAAAACATAAAATAAACTCTTTAGTTGTGTATAAATGAACAAAGCCACATGCCAATCACATGCACATTTGAAGATCATTCCTAGGAAATACTGCTTTAGCTGAAATAAAAAAATAAACATTCATAAGAAAAAAAAAATTAAAATATTTTTGTAACTTTCCTCAAAGTCAAAAGTTTGCATATATTTGATTTAGCATAAAAGAATAATTTTGGTAATTCTAACTAAGCTAAAACAAGAGAAGCTTTATCCGATTTAACTTCACTTAGTGAGAAAAGAAATTGTATCTGTTTTTACTTGTGCATATAAATATCTGGTTTAAATGTGTGTAAAAGCCTGAGCCACAAGTGAGCAGTGAGCAGGCTGTGTGGGAATTGTCAGATTTGAGCGCGTGACAGAGCACTACTGAGCAAGCGTTTGTGTGATTTAAATGCACACAAATCAAATTATTGTTTGTTCACATAGATATATACGCTGAAATCACTCTCACTGCTTGTTCAACTTGGAGACACAAAAATCGCACCTTATATTCCTACGCTCAAACCGTCTCATGACAAATATTCACCTTCAGATTTTTCCAGAGTTATGCTTTTATAAACAGGAGACGGGTCCAAAACAAACCAGAAGGGCCACGTTGTAGATTGCACTGATTTCCAGTTAGTTAGAAGTCAAATGATGAATTGTGTGCACATGGTGTGAGGTGAACTGCTATCTGATGCGTTGAAGACATTAACTCAACATTAAGAGAACAAAGGAGCAACAGTCACGGTAGCATGGACAGCAGTGGATCAGCAGATGTTCTCCCACACGAAAGGGCACATCACTTTCTGAGACCAGAGTCAGTGAGTTAGAAAGCAAAACAATGTGAGGCTGAAATGTAAGCTGTTAGCGGAAAGAAAAGGGAGAGACATTTTCTGCACAAAGAAAAAGGCTATTTATTCTTTCGCACAAAACAGTGACTAACATTTAGCTGTGACATTTATCTTTAATAAAGGAGACATTGCGGTTATAAAAAATGATTTTTTGCCAAGAAGTCAGTGGGGAAAGATGAACTCATTTCCCTTCAAAATATTTACTTTAAAACACTACTGTGTTTACCCTTGGAGGGTAAAACAAAGCCAAACAAAATGAAAAAAACTTAGAATTGACAGAATTAAAATGCAGAAACTTGTGGTAAGTTGTCATTATACACTTGTAGAATTTTCTAACTTAGGAATGTAAAGCATTTCCACCCTCACTATATTGAACTGTGGTTTAATTATCTACTCACATTTTTATATCAGTCATTGCAAGATTACATGCTTGTAGTAATGGTTTGCAAAGAGAAGGGTAAAATTATGTAAATACTCTACTTTGTTCAACGGTAGTAAAATGAAGTTTGCTGTGTTGCCAAGGAATAATAATGGAAGCCAGAACGTGAATCTCAGAACAAGACAGGAGCTCTGACTTTGAGCTGTCATGGATTTCTTTCCATATTTATGTACAATGTCCTCTGAACAGAAAACGTAGGCACAAGGTCAAGTGACAGATCTCGAAGTGTCAATGTTGACCTTCATGTTGACCTGTTGTCTTTGGATCAGCCTTCCACACAACTCAAGTTCTTTGGTTCAAGTTTACTCTGCATCACCAAAATCTGAACCAAACATGGAGAAGCAGAATTCAATTTCAATGCTCCAAAAATCTAGAACAAATTTTCATAAGACTGCAGAACAGCTGAAACACTGAGTTTCAAAACTTGTCCTTGCTGTGAAATGTAACCCTGTGCGCTATGGTTAATCACATAAATTTGAAAGGCGTTGCAGTCGACAAGGCATCAATATTATAAAAAGCTCCCTGGAACAGGTGGGATTCATCATACAAGGCTACTCAACGTCTTTTGACCCTTTGATGTACGAGGAAAATTGTAATGACAGTTTAATAATGACTCAGTCAGGAACAAGAGACTTGCATTGTAAACTGAAGGACAGTTATCACACAAAAACTCTCAGATGAAATGATGTGTGGTTATAAAAAGACAAATGAAAGAAAATGTGTTAAAAGTAAAACTAAGTTACAGGTTCAAATATCTCAAGAAAAATCCATTCATAAAAACTTTCCATGACATACAAGGAATTATAAGAAACTGAGAACAGAGTCTCTGAGTAGAATAA